TGTTGGTTGTTGTTAAGAAACGGACAGAGAACTGACAGTATGATTATTCCAGTTGTATATTTGTTAATGTTTCTGTCCATCCAAAATATGAATAAAAAAAAAGAAAAAAAAGAAAGCGGCCCGCATGCACAAAAGAAGACTTCACACACAGCGCGCTCTGTTTAGACCCAGAGCAAACAGTATTATTTGACTGATAACCCTTAAAATAAAGACTTCGGACTTTACGTTTCCCAATTTTTGCTTTAAGTTATTTTGTTATTTACATAATAATGTAGATAACCTAATAATTATCCTTATTGCTGTTTTAGAGGAGCGGTGCTTCAAAGGATAGTTGCAGATTTCTGTCAGAATCTGCAGATTATAAAGTACAAATAAAATTTTCACGTTTCTCCAATGTTGTCTTCCCAAAAGTTTCACTGACATCTACACTGGATGGCCAGGAAGCGTTCGCGGTGTCTTCTCGGGCGCTGATAATTGGCGTCTGTTTGTGTCAGTGACGTAAAAGACGGCTTTAATGACTGTTCAAACAGCAGTCGCTTTCTAAAACATCGGATATGTATCGGATTCAGTACCACATACGAAAGTGACCCAGATCAGATTTGAAAATATCGGATTTGTGCCATTCACACTGTCATACCATGATCGGATATGGGTCGCATAGGGTCAAAAAAATTGGATTTGATGCGCTTTTGCCTGCAGTATGAACGTAGCCTTTGACATCTTTGTGAGGAAAGAAAATTGGGATGCCACTATACTTGTGGAGACCAACAGGCACTAATGGGTACAAAATGCCCGTCCCCACGAGTTTGAAATTTTTTGAGGCTCAAAATGTGATTTCAGGGCTCTAGACTAACTTATTGCCACAGTTGCACTGGTGCACCAAACTTTTTTTCTTAAGTGCACCAGCACAAAAATTAAGCGCATTTTTCAACAATCTTGTCAACACAAAGTTCTTTATTTGGAGCACAGTTCTACAAGAAAGATAAGTGTGAAAACAGAGATTTGAAATGGGAAACTGTTCTTGAAGTACAACGAGAGAGAGAGAGAGAGAGAGAGAGAGAGAGAGAGACCTGATCAGGAAGTGTGATTTTTTTTTTTATAGCGGTGGAAGCAAAACAGCAAAAGTAAGAGGGAATTAATCACGATGTTTGTCAAATGTGAAGCCTAGTTTTGATCTTCTTTTGCTGCTGGTTCAGTCTAATTTGGTTGGAGAGAGACAAAACCTGCAGCACCAGAATCTAGGGCAAAAAAAGATGTGAACACAAAGAGCGGACCTGACGCATCAGAATCAGTGAGCTGTCGGCTTTCAGCCTCGACAGCATGTCTGCGTATGTGCCGTCGGGTGAGAAAGCAGACATCTCACTCATTCTGATGCGTCGGTTCCACACTCTGTGTTTATGTCTTTGTGCGGAATCCGTTTACCTGCTCTGGTTTGCTGTTTTAGCTATTTGGTGGGTGTTGAAATAGTTTTGATAGCTTTAACCTTAGATTCTGGCGTTTTCTGCCAATAAGAGAGGTCTGCCCCAGACTATGTCTGACTGGTTTGGACCACAATATGGGCATGTGTGTCTGTTGTTGACCACAGTTTCAGACTTTCAGAGTTGCGGAGACTTTTTCTTTTTTGTACTCGAATGGCAGGTCGCACCGGCGGACAAAGCTGAGCTCGATCAGCTCATCATATCTCCACTATTAAACAGGCCTGGACCTGAGGAGTTTTGGTTGTTGTTGTTGTGTGTGAGCTGAAATGCTGCAGCTGAGTGTTCAGAGAGCAGCAAACGGGAATAAACTGTGTTAAACGAGTGAACTATGTGGTCAGGTACGTCATTCCCGTTACAATTAGGTTTAGGCCAAGGGTTTTGGGTTAGGCATTCATTTTTGATGCTTAGGATAAGAAGCTAGACATGTGAGAAGTGATGTGTTACAATGATTGTGAATGTTTTTATTGCAAATGTATCATATATCATATAGTTTTCCATTCTTTGTTACACTTGAGTCATTGTGTACATCTAAAACAGTTCCATAGGCCATGTTATACAGCAAGCATAAAAAAAGCGTCCTCAGCAAAGAGTTTCTCCACCAGGTCACGTCCTGCCTTTGGGACAGGACACTGGTCTGAGACTGAGGTTGGGAAGGGCTCGATAGCAGGGTCCATTTCTCCAGGAATCTGGGGGTTGGGCTTAAGCGGGAGAGTGACTCCGAGCTCAGGGCCACCAGCAGGGACATCAGGGAAGGAAGGCAGGGTCACAGGCTGGCCCAGAGCTGGCAGCATTGTCACCATGCCTTCTGGGTGGTCGTGGGGTGCGTTCTCATGTTCGTGCTTGTGGTGATGGTGGTGGTGCTCGTGTTCATGCAGGTGACCATGCTTGTGATCGTGGTCCAGAGCCAGCTCGTGGTCATGTTCATGGGTGTGCACACCTTCAGCGTGCTTGTAGTCGTGGTGTTGGTTGGGAAAGTCACTGCTGTGGTTGTGTGCTTTGTCGTGATGAGTGTGCACGTGATCGTGGCTGTGACTGTGGTCATGGGAGTGGTCATGAGCGTGCCTGTGTGTGCTGCCTGTGGCATGGTCATGTGTGTGGTGGTGATCGTGGTTGTCAGCATGCTTGTGGGTTTGGTCATGATGAGAGTGGCTCTTGGTGTGATCGTGTACGTGGTCGTGTGTTTGGTCTTGTTCGTGGCTGTGTGAGTGTGTGTCATTGTGGCTGTGGTCAGTCTCTCCGCCCAGCAGGTGGAGTGTCTTCTCTCTCTCAGCAGCCTGGAGAAGAGATAAAGAGTATACGGTACATTACAGTAAATCCAGTGGCCCTGTGAATAAGTCCTTACAAAATCTGACCTCCTTCAGAAGGGAGCAAATTTAATGGTGACCAGAAAGTGAAGCTGTCTTGTTTAAGAAAAAGGTATTTAAAAAAAATTAAGTCAAGATGGAAGAATTACAATCTGAACTTCTGCTAATGGCCCCATAAGGATTCTATGATTTGATCACAATCTATAGCGACTACCGGATGAAAGCTAATCACTGCATTTCTCATTAAAAGTCAAGTGAACTTTTACCACTATTTTCATTTTTCTTTACAGTATTAATTTGGAAAAACTCCTATATTGTAATTGTTGGTGATTGTTGGAGTTGCTTTTTTTTATTATCATAGGGTCTTTACAACATAAAGCACTTCGAGGTCACTGTTGTTTTGAATTGGTGTTATATAAAAAAAAATGAAAGGAAATTAAATCGAATCATTCAATGATATTTTGTTTGCCCTGGTGAGAATTTAGCTGTATCATCTGATTTTGTAATGTTAGAGCTTGAAACAGTCTAGAGCACAAACAAGATATCAACTTTTACTTTAAATGTTACGACTGTAAAGATGACACTGTGTAAGGTTGACTAGCTGGATCCTGCTTTTCACCATCCTACCAAGCACCATTGTTTCAAAGTAAAACCTGCCACTAACTAAGCAACGGAGAAATTCGTCTGGTTCCTGTGGTATCACAGTTTACAGGTTGTATGTAGAAGTATGATGAACATTAGGAACGAAAAAAAAGTGTTTGACATCACAGATAAAAAATCAAAATAAAACTTGACATACAGAGGAAGACTTGCTGTCCAATAAAGGAAGCAAAGCTAGGACAAACACAAATTCCCTGTTTTGTAGTTTTTCCTAATTAGAGTCAACAGTTTGTGTTCATTTGTTCAAGATCAAATATTTGTTCAAGAGGGAGACAAAAGTTTCAAAGGTTTTATTCTAATAAATTTAAAATTTAGACTCAATCCTGTATGTTTTCTGTGCTATTGAAAGATGTTAAAAAAAAAAAACAGAGATCGTATCCTGATAAGACTTACCTCAGGCTCATAGATCTCACACTCTACGTCAATGATTTCATCATTAGTGGGGGAGTGGTAGAGGGATGCCTTACAGAAGCCCTTGTGCTGAGGAGAGAAAAAGAGGAACAAAGAGCCCATTTTACTAAGGTTTAAGAATTAGAAAAACTGAATCTAGGAATAATCTCCTGCTGACGTAAACTAGCCAGTAATATAAAGCTAGAACACATCCTTGCTCGAGGCTTGACTGTAAACAGAGGACTTTGCTTGTAGTGATAAAAACTGATAGCCCCCTGATTGGAGAAGCCACAGTGGAGTAATTTCATCAAGCAGTTTGATCAAAATTTCTCATTTAAAAAATTCAGTTCAGATAAAATAAAAAAGTTGTGAAGTGTTTATCTTGACTCACGGCGAACTCGCAGTTCATGAGGGGGCACTTCTCAGCTGTTGCTTCTGCGCTGTTGGGGCAGATGGTCTCCTGGATGCTGAATTCCACATTGTAATACATACTCATGGCCATCTGAACACACAAATAAACAAATGTTTAATTGAGAAAATCATTTGCAGAGGAATTATTAAGTAATCTAGAGTGGTGGGAATAAAAACTGTTGAACATGAAAAGTAGGCCCATGAGGTTTGATGGAAAGCCAGTATTTAGTCATTTATTGATAAAGATTTTAGATTAACCTCTAAGAAGGATATTTTTGTGTGATTTCAACTAATCTCTGGTGTCAGAAATTCAGTCACAATATTCTCAGCCTTGACACTGTGTGTTATGGAAGTTAAGATGACAGGATACATTATGTCACATGTGCTGATGTTCCTTTTGGAGGTATGGTAAGCTTACCCCTGCTGCAGCACGGCAGATTTTGAGGAGAGCAAAACGATTGGCGAGTCCGCTTTCCTTGTTGAACTTTTCCAGAGAGTGGGACACAGTCTTCTGAACGTTGTTATTGTCGTGGTGAATTAAAGTTGGGCAGTCAGGATACATCTCATGTACTCTAGCTGCAGGAACTGAGCAGAACAAAAATTGTCTTCAAATTTTCAAACATTTTGTGGTGTGCAAAAAAAGCGCTGTCCCAGATTTTGACATGTAGTGCCAAGTGTTGCCCTACACGTCATTTCTTAATGTTTTGCAAGGAAAATTGGAAATAGGTGAAACAAAGAGATGCGGTAATTTTCATACCTGGTCTGATAACACAGCTGTATTTGTAGAGACGCTCCACTCTGTGCACCTTGTTGATGAAGATAGCAGCTTTGCACTGTCCATATACCTGCAAACACAAATACAATATATCAATACACCACATGACTTTTTCCCCTTCCAACTTCTGAACTAATGCTTATGGAACAAAAACCTTATCGATTAAGAAAATAAAAATATAATAAAAACAATTTTATTATAACAACTACTCAAGAAAGCCTTGAGCAGAACAGTGTGAGTACATGCACTTGCAGGGTGTGTGTCTTTTCTAACCGGCATGTTTGCAGTGGGACGAGTCTCACAGCTCTTCCAGTCCTTCTTGCTGAGAACGCTGCATTTGGTCTCCACGACATCCAGAGTCAGGTAGGAGACCACACCATTATCTCCCTGTAACACGCACACATACCGTTTTGTCAAAAACACAAACATTTACAGTCATTAAAACCTTAACAGAATTTAACAACAGTTTCTGGTTTTACTTCCCGGGATCTGTGAAATCTCCTGATTTGTAAGCTTGACCCCTTGCAAAATACAAACACTAGTTTTTTAGTGTTGCAGGTCTAATAGTTCCTTTCTGCCCATCTTTCTGTGCAATTGTGCTGTAACGGTTGCTGCTCTGTCTCCAGATTTCAGCCAAACGCTTTTCAGTCACAACCCTTTAAATGGCTGGATTGTACTGAAAACTAAAAGTGCTCCAGTAAACAAACAGAAATGCAATGAACTGAACTGGTTTGATACTGCAAGCAGCAGCATGGCTTACATGTCTCTTTATGTGTGCGTTGGACAGGCGGTGCAGGCTGAAGATGTAGCCCTCCTTCCTGTCCTGGTTGATTTTGGTAAGAGCCAGTTCAGCAGCTGCTTTTGTTGATGCGTCTTCACATGAACCTGGCTCCATGCCACCACGCTCCACTGGTGCACCATTGATGGTCACACAACCCAACGCCAGCAGCAGTGATAACAGCACGCAGGTCTTCATGGTGGTACACACTGTCACACTCAGGCTTCTAGAAGAGATGTGCAGAGGAGAGGTCACATTTTATATCCTGCTACTGTTGCACACACAGCTCCTCCTCCTGTAAAAAGTAAATATAACCACTGACCCCAACTCCTTATTTAAGTCATGCTCATCTATCAGGCAACAAGTCAAATACTCACCAGACTGCACAATGGAGCATGTTAGCTGAGATATAATCATCTTTTCAAGAGTCTTTCTTCTTTGGGATCAATGGGTGCAGCCAGTGGGTTTGATCCACTCTAGCCACTGAGATTAATTAAGGACAAGGCTTAATGTTCGTTAAAGAGAGACAGCATGGACAAGATACAGGACCACAGCAGTCAATGATCTAAAAAGACAAAGAATGTTGGAGAGTAATCAGAGCAGCTACTGATCACTGTACAACTTCATATCAGCTAACTGAAGCGATATCATGTCACCACTGTCTGATTAAATCACAGAAGAACAGTGGGGCTAATTGAAACTTTCCACTGGTTTGTATACTATCTTCTTTTTCCACTGCATTTGGAAACACAAGCAGTATATGTATAGCAAGAACTTTATAACATACAAGGACAGCATGTTGTAAATAGAATTGATACATAGTCATAGACATCCCAGAATACTCACTAAACCTATGCATCAATATTTAGCAAATACAAAAATAAAAGACAATGCCATATACTTAGCCTTTTAAGTACACATCATTGTTTCAATATGTTTTCAGTTATGTTTTTCAAATTTTAGTTGTTCGTTTAATCTTAGGAAATTATAATAAGCTAAGTGTTTTTTTTGTTAAATTTGTGTTGTTACACTTAGCATCGCCCCACAGAGTGCCACACAAACCCATTCTGACTGAATGAATGTGTCGGCTTTCTTTGGTCATGCAGTTTGCCATTTTTACAGCTCTATATTTATTCTTAAACTGTGTGACCTCATCCTCTCCCCACTCTTTCTTAACTGGTCACATTCACTTCCTTAACATGCTTTTTGAACCATTTTTCAGAATAAATAATTGAAATATTACATGAGTGAACGCCTCCCTCTTCAGTGTGTGCAAGTGAGGTATTTAAAGTGTTATGTTAACATTCTTTGGTCTTTACTTGATGCTGTGAGGATAAACTGAAGCAGAAAGCAGACTTTAGGTGTATTCCCCCTGTTCCTAAATTTGACCCCGAATCCCACTCAAGCGAATGAGTTGTTACTTTTTTTCCTTTAGCTGCAGTGAATGATGTGACCTTTGACAAGCATAAAGTAGTATTTTTGGAAGAACAAGGTGATATCCATAGAGTTATTAGTAAAACAATTAGCTCTCAGGGTTATTGATGTCATGTGGGATCATCTTGACACAAAGCAGGACAAAAAGCAGCCACCATTTAAAGAAGATCTTTGGAACGTCCTTCAAGAATTCTGGACTTACTTTCACGTAAGTTTGCAAATGTTTCAGAGAGAAAATGCAGAGGTATTCCATAGGTGAATATGCAATCATAACAACCTGCAGTGTTTAAGTTCATACTAATGCTGTGCGATTTTTGGCCCATTTTGAGCCGATTTTTGAGTCGTGCGACCGTTTTGGCGATCGGCCCGATTTTGGCCTTCATCGTGCGTCGTGCATCGTGTAGTATACGTGGGGTAACGAGACGCGATTAACACCTCACGACGAGCTCCCGATCATCAATCGCTTGGTCGGGAGGATTTCAAACCTGTTTGAAATCCTCGCGACCGTCGTGAGGGTGTCACCGCAGTTTGTCACACTGCGCACGCGCAAACACAAATGTCAGCGAAAAAGACAGCGCAGCACGGCAGTGCAGCGTGTGATCTGGACACAAGCGATGGAGGCACAACTTGTAGAACTTTGGAAAGCTCATCCGAGGCTTTTCAATGTGGCCTCACAAAATTATCACGACACAACAACCTTGAAAATAGTTGGATCTACACTGCTGCTCAATCACAGCTGCCTGATCAATGTTTTTCATTAGCAATTTAGCAAAGTTGATGGTGGTGGTGTGTCTGTGTGAGTGAAAGACAGAGAGAGAGAGCGAGCGACAGAATTTCTGTTATAACCTTCATTTTATGGACGCACAGTGTGAGCACTCAGGTCGCATCAGAGCATCGGGCCGTATAGTGTGAGACCTGCATCGTGACCTATGAAATTCTAACCCCTGCGAGTCAACGAGAAAAAATCGCACAGTGTAAGCCCAGCATTAGGAATTAAATTTTGAGTTTCTTGAAACACACTTATTTCAACCACAAGGTGGTGCTACAGTATAGTGCAATATCAGACCATCATTTTGCACACTGAGGTCCTGGATACACTGGTTATAAGTCTGAAGCTATTCTGCACTTAAAGACGCAGCACAGAATGCATCATTCAGCATTTATCAAAAGACACAAAAGACATTAAGAGTTAATGAATAGTCTACCATGTGTATGTTTAGCTAGTGATGTATGTATATGTATATGTACATATACATGGGTGTGATACTGCAGCAATGTACATTCAAAATAAAAATTGTATCTATACAAAAAAAAAAGTGTCAAATTATTGAACCCCTGAAATAAAACAAGGTGAAACACAATTGTTTCTGATGCAAGGTAAAATTAAACATTTGACTCCAGTCATCACTTTGGCCAACTGAGTGGCCCCAGTTCATCCTGATAACAGGAGGAAATCATCTCAGTGACTTTGAAAGAGGCTCATTTGTCAGGGCACAGATGGCAGGAGCTTTAATCGCAGACTGTTCCCTTGGCCAGTGCCTCAATGGGAACCGTGACTAAGCGACATCTGCATCCAGATCTACTGAAAAGACATCAATAAATAGGTAGGAAGCCGTAATCAGCAGCGCATATATGCTGACTCTAATGCTTATGATGCACAAAACAGCAGCTTCCTCAGGTACCTGAGAAAATCTGCAGGCTGTAATCAGACTGTTGAATTAAGAACTAATTAAAAATTATAATAATGCGTGATACAGATGTAGTCTGTCAACCCCTTATTATAAAAACGTGGATTTGGAGACCCTGTGGTGCAAAAACCACAGACAATGTTCTACGGAGATGTGTGGAAAAATACTGATACGGTCAAGTGAGTCATCAGCAGCTGAGGAAGCAAGTGACACGCACAAAGAGAACAAAACTCACCACTTGATCCCCTCAATATTAGGGTCAAGCATTCAGGCCTGCATGCTTTGGGGTGCATTTTCATGTCTTAGTGTCAGTCCATATTTTTAGTCCATCTTATTTTACAGGGTAAGACCCGGCACATCACGTTGTTCTGAATGATCACCTTTAAAATGTGAGGAAACACTTGTATCCTGATAGGACTCGTCTTTGATAACTAGCCTCAGTCCACAGGGTGAGCACATGAAGATAATCTCTTCCTCAGTCGTAATGAAGAATGGGGCTTCCAGACGACCTGGACACTCAATGCTAAGGAGAATTAAAGCTATTACGGTGGCAGAACAGCTTTTTAACAAACCTGTTTTTTTTCTGACTGTTTTTGAACTGTCAGCAAAACTACTCATCATCAGGTATGATAAATGTATAGGATTTGTTTGCATTTACAGAGACCTTTACAGAGGTCGCGTCTCACATAGTCAGAATTTAGATTGATCTCAAACGTTAAGGGTCAGTGGATTTGTAAACAATGATTCATATTATAAGGCTATAACCTGTGCAGGAGAAAGAGAAGGGTTTCGGGGGAAGATGAGGAAAAATTGTAGCTCTTGGCACAGAGAGAAGGGTTATCTCATCTGTCTTTCAGATCTCACAGGTTACACAGGGAGTGTGTAATACCACTTCAGCATGCTCAGACCTGGATTTGTTTGGAACCACACTTCATATTGTGTAAGATATAATACATTGGGATTTTACTGACCGGTGCAATATTTCAGACGCATGCTGTAAAAGGTTTAATGCAAACATTAAATGAAAAAACGGACTTTCTTGTCTGTATCCTCCACAGACTGTGTAAAAGATGCTTCTAGCCACTTTGATGTCACCCAGTAGTTTGTGGACTCAAACTATGAAAACTCAGCATGAGCATTTCTGGCCGCTGCCATACAGTTTTTTTCTTCCAAAGAAGTATTTAGACAAGGGAGTGGAGTGTTAAACTACCAGGGAAGGCTAGCAAGCTTTCTTAACCCCATGCCTCCATGTATGTTTGACATTTACAGACACAGCTATTTGCTAATTAGTACTAATAAACTATTAAAATGCTACATAAACTTGAATGGTTTGTATCTCACAGCAGATAATATAATTTCTCAGATTATTCTGTTGTTCTGATAGGCACAAACATAATCAAGAGGACTATGTTATGGCGTCCATCTTAGAGACTCAAATTAGCAGAGGTGAAACATACAGCAGATAGCTATCACCTGCAGTTACCTGTGTCAGCACACACACTGATGAAAACTACCAGCCCCTAACTAAGCCTTAACAACAAATGAGTAGGTTTCTAATAAATTGTTAACAAGGTGATTTAATTGCTAAATGGGCGATTATGGGGATTGATTTTCCTTTTTAGTCTCAAGTGGCCACAAGAGGAACTGCAGGTTTCAGTTCCCTGAAAAGACAGAACAAAACACATGATTTAAATTCTGTTGTGTCACCTCTTTCTCCATTCTGCTTTTGGTCTCACAAATCTCTACACTGTTCCAAAATAAAATTGATGAAATAGATTAAAGGGCAGCACGGTGGCACGGTGGTTAGCACTGTTGCCGCACAGCAAGAAGGTCCTGAGTTCAATTCCAACATCAGGCCGGGGTCTTTCTGTGTGGAGTTTGCATGTTCTCCCCGTGTTTGCGTGGGTTCCCTCCGGGTACTCCGGCTTCCTCCCACCGTCCAAAGACATGCAGCTTGTGGGGATAGGTTAATTGATTAATCCAAATTGCCACTAGGTGTGAATGTGAGTGTGAATGGTTGTCTGTCCCTGTGTGTTGGCCCTGCGACAGACTGGCGACCTGTCCAGGGTGTACCCCGCCTCTCGCCTTATGACAGCTGGGATAGGCTCTAGCGCCCCCCGCGACCCTGAAAAGGATAAGCGGAAGTGAATGGATGGATGGAAATAGATTAATGTATAAGAGGAAATAATCCACAGCACAGTGAACCTTACAGAACCTCAGAGTTCAAGCTGCTGTTGTTCTGAAACATCCCATAGCTTTTCTGATTGTTCTACTCCAGTTTGCTATAATGAGCACTGTCACAATGTTTACAATGTTGCTGACTGGGAAAAGAAGCTATGTTGATCTGAGGTATTCCAGTACAGCAGCTTGGCTCCTTATATAGACTGTCTGGTACAATCCAAAATACCCTCTTTTCACA